TGGCTTCCAGGATACACCCGTCCCCCAAAAGGGACACCCAAAGCTCTCAGGATACCGGGGGGATGGGGGACATCCCCAGGCAATCCAGATTCCACGGCAAACTACGCCCCCGCCAAGAACCTCAACGGAATGGGATGGACCCCGGTGTCCTTTCCCCTCCCTAGGAACTGGGCACACCTGTGGGAGAAATCCCAAAGGCCAAAAAGAGGAAGGGCAAAAGGGAGGGGTGGGGAGGAGGAGGAGGAATGGAAAAAGGGGGAGGATGGGAGAGGGGAGGGGGGGAATGGGGGGTAATTAGGTTCGGTCTGAGGAAGAAGCCCGACAGGGCTAATTCCTCAGCCAAGAGCCTCTTCACCACGCCAAGGAGCCCCCCTTGAAGATGAAAGGGTGTGCAATGGGTAGGATTATGGGAAAAACAGCATGCAAGGTAGAGGGGTTAGGAATACACTAGTAAAATCAATGAAGTACATTCAAAGGTTAGTTGCTGTTAAGTCAGATGCACCAAAAAGGAGCTCCAAAGATTAGAACCTGCTAAAAGGAAAAAAAACTAAAAAACTTCCATAGCAGTGTGAGCATTTTTCCAAAATATATGAATGAAGAACATGGCCAATACATAGACTGGAGAGGTTGCAATATGACAGCAGATTGATGTTGTCTGAACACAAATTTTGATGGGTAATTACTCGGACAAGCTGACCATCGCTGCCAGCAGCTACTCTGGTACACCAGCTGAAAGCTAAGTTACTTCCAACTTTTATTATGGTAAGTCGAAAGGTTTACTGATCAAGTGACAATCAAACCATCACCTGTAGCAAGTAGTGAACTTTAATAGTAGCACCAATGACAAATGCAGGATGATTTATGTAGACAAGTGTAGCTTTAGGAAACAGACATATCACCTGTATACCAGGCATATTTAAGTCAGATGTCAAGGTTGAGCATAATATACAGACAAGAAAGCAATAATTGGTGATAAGATTTAGTAAAGGGAGAGGAGGCAGATCAATCAGCTTAACACTAATTTTAGTCCCATTCTTTGTTCAACACCGAGTCTGCTTTAGTCCATTATCACTCGTCCAACTGGCAAAAAGCTAGTCTCGGTAGTTTCACAAGAAGTCACATCGGGACACCATTCCTTGCCCTGTCAAACAAACATTGAGAATTAGCATTTTTATATTATCAGAGGATTAAACTACTGAAATTACATTCCTTGCCCTGTCAAATGCTCTAGGAGCATCAGAGCTTCTTATACACAAATTTACAATGTACATAATTACCTAGTGTGGTCTGCTAGCAAAGCTTAACTATTGCAGACTGGCTGAATCTGAAAAAGAAAAATTAATTGAGATAAACAACCTATTAAAGTATTTATCGGGCTACATTTATTATCAGAAGTAACAAATAATCAATGGATTTCATAACCCAATGCTGTTAAAAATGTTTCATCACATTAATATACAATTGTTAATTGACAAGCCGAAATAATTACACAGACCTTAACGGGGAAAGTTCCAATTTCGGCCAACTCTTATTTTTAACCAATTTTTTTTATTTTTGGTGTACATTTAGAGGTTCATAGGTAGAAGAATGTAAAAAAGTTTCAGTATGATTGGCCAACAAACAACAGAAAAAAATATTTAATGACTTCATATATGGCAGCAAGGTATGACAAAATGGCACTTCGAGTGGCACTTCCGACAATCCAAAACCGTTAGAATACATCTGACACAAATTTTGGTTTGCACATGTTCATCAAATATATCTTATTTCATGGAAAAAAAAAATATTTTGATGGGATTTTTTGGCATTCACCAAAATATCTCCCTTTTACCTCCCACAAAATCAAAAATATTTGATATTTCCAAAAAAAAGAAGCCGCAAATAGCCCAAACACTGTTTTATATTGTCAGTGAAAATCATTTCAATACAATAATTAATAATGGTGTACATTAGCGAAATATGTGAAAAAGTTATTTCCCGAGATATAGGCCTAGAACGCCGGCAGGCCCCTACCGTCTCAAAAAATTTTTATTTGCGCGGAAATCGCGTTTTTTTCGGTGTATTTCTTAGTAAAAAATGATGTTCTAGTGCGTTATCCTCTTCAAAATTTCCCTTTTTTCACTCGCATACCAAAAAAATTTGAACAAGGAGGGCAAGGAGTAACACATTTATATCGAAATATTGCTGGTGGACTTCGCTATATTATGGCCTATTTTATTCAGTCTAGAGTATATAACATGTTTGTTTGTTATTTATAGTGTTTATTATATTTATTTAGATCAATTCTGATAGACCAAATAAGCCGTATAGTTGATATATAAGCTGATATAAACGTAATAATGAAGTTTATTTCACCTGGGCACATCTGGAGGGGGAAGTTTCTGCGAGTGTTCTCGATGGCTCCCAATTGGCTGGCACTCTACTGATAAGCTCACCTACTCTTATATGATGCCCAAAAAATCAATTATATTAGAAAAGAATAATGCAAAGAAAAAGCAATAAAAAACAAGGAAAAATTCCAAAAAATACATGGGTTGAGAACAGATGCGCTACCTACATTGCCGTTACCATACCGATTAAATGACTATAATTTCTTGTAGAAACGTCCCTTTGAACATTGATTCTTGTACATTGTGTTGCCAAAGAGTTAAGCTATTTTTTGGTATAATAAATCAAAATTTCATAATTTTTGTTTTTGGTTGAGCGCGCGCGGAAAATTGCCCTAGCGCTCCCTTAATAGCAGTGCATCTCTTAACCCTTCAGGGTCCAAGGCCCCAAAATTTTGAAGTGGGCCCCATTTTCCAAAAAAAAAAAAAAAAAATTTTTACAAAATTTTAAAGAGCTATTTTTGGGGAAGGTTAAAAAAAAAAAAAAATCGTTCAGTTTTTCCCGGATACAGTGAAAAGAAGTTTGTCAATGTTTTTTGTGGCGGAAAACCATGGGACAATTCCCAAATTTAAGTCCATTAATTTTTTAGCTTTTTAAATTTTTTTTTCTTTTCTTTTCCAATTTTTTTCTACCCTTACTAACTTTTGGGGGGCCTTTGAAAACCCAAAATACGTATAAAAATTATTATATAAAAACCCTCCTGTTTTTAACACAATAACCCACTAAAGTTATAAACATATTATTTTTTTCCCACTGTTGTTTATTACAAAAAAATGAAAAAATCTTGTATTTTTAATTAATTTTTCTATCAAAATATTTACAATCATGGATAGGGTTTTTTAAAAACTGCTGGGCTTGTGGGAACCCCTTGAAAAAAAAAAAAAGGCACCTGCACAGAGGCCCCTTTCCCCCCCTTTCCTACAAAAAAACAGGGGGCTTTGCGTTTTTTGTTGCCATGTTTTGTTTGTGCAAAAGCGATGCTCTCTTTGAGCAAATTTTTTCCCGATTTAAAGGGAAAGCTGTATTTGAAATGTACCTTCCCTCCTCAACGTTGGGTATACCCGGGGTTTAATTCGGGCCCTTTTGTTGTATAGCAGGTTTTTCTTCCCTTTGGTATTCCCTTTTTGAGTTGTCTGAAAAACAAAACAAAAAAAATTCCCCATAGGGTGGGTTGTTCCCCGTTTTATTTGGAAATTTTATTATATGCATTGAGCATAAAAAATCCCCATGAATGGAAAAAAAAGTTTCTTGTCCCTTAACCTTACAAAACACAGTCAAAAAAACCCAATCTGCATTTTAATTTGTAAACCCAAGCCCCTTTTTTTTGGTTTTATAATAATTTCACTGTCACGGGTTTTTTCGAATCGTTCATTATCCCCTCGATAAATTTTCCCAAATGTCTTGCATTTCTTTACGGTGAAGGGTTTTTGTCAAAAATGTGACACCCGTTTGTCTTTTCCAATTTAATGCCTTTGAAGTCATTGGTAGTAAACCCTGCTTTGTCATAACCCGGGGCCCCTGCTTTTGGCCCTGGGCTTTGTTTTCGATTAGAACGCACTGTGCCACACACATCTGTCTTGTTCACTCGCATGAAATCGCTGAGTAATGGGCTTGTGTACCAGTTATCGGTATATAATGTATGCCCCTTACCAAGATAAGGTGCCATCATGTTTCTCACTACGTCACCTGAGGATACCCAATAACATCTGGTATCTTTCAATGTTTTACTTCCCGTGTATACAACAATATCCAACACCAGGCCACTGTCACAGTCACAGAGTACAAACAGTTTTATACCAAAGCGTTTCCTCTTGCTCGGTATATACTGCTTGAATGACAGTCTACCTTTGAACAAAATCAAAGACTCGTCAATTACAACATTCTTGAATGGATAAAAGTATATGCTGAACTTTTGTTTGAGATACATGAAAACATTTCTAATCTTGTATAACCTGTCACTTCTGTCAGGCCTGGTTTTGTCAGAGAAGTGCAACATACGTAAGAGTAAGATAAACCTGTTCACTGGTATGATTTCACTGAAGACCGGGGTAGAAATTAGCTGATCTGTGGACCAGTATGCTTTTATATTATGCTTATAGACATGAGGCATAAGCATTATTGTTGGAAAAAGCAAATACATTTCTGCAACAGTCGTCTCTTTCCACCTGTGTAGTCTTGACTGTGGTGATATGATCTATTTGCCATGGTGTACTCAAAATACTTATTACTTTCCTGACATAGTTTCCATCAATGGCTGGTCAAAGAATAATTCAAATAATTCCAGTTCATTGGCCGTGGTTCTAAGGGGACAAGTAGGTAGAATTCCACTTTGAGAGTCATCAAAGTTTTGGGGCTTGGGAACAAAATTGGGATTTTGCTCCCAATCCCAAAAATTTTTGCTGGTGGATACAGGACATCATGGGCCCGGTTTGGGCGGGGGGGTTTGTGGTTTGGTGGGCGGTGGCGACCTCCGCTTTGCCCCTTGAACTGACAAGTAACCCTGGGCCCCCAGCGTGGCCTGGCGAGTCAGCATGGGGGTTTGTCACTACATACCACAAACACCATCCACTGATGCCTGTGGCTTTTCCTGCCAAGTTAAACCCACATCATCCTCACATCACTCCCAAAAAATGGTGTGGGGCCCCGGGGATGTATCCGCCCCCTGGGCACCCCATGGGGTAACACCCAGCGAAAGCGGCGGCAAACTTTCCAACGTTTCATTGGTAAATTTGGGATTCCTATTTCACTACTCGAATGTTTCTCGAGCGAATAAAATCACAAGCCACGTCACTAAAAATATCATTATGAAGTCAGGGGCCCTGCCCACGCGAAAAATTTATTTTCTCTTGCTTTGAGGAAAAACCCGACCGTGAGTCCCGGTACCCCCCCCAGGGGTAAAAGGGTTGGGATTTTCAGGGTTTTTGCACTATTATCGTTCCCTGGTCATTTTTTTTGGGCCCCACAACTGATCAAAGCCTTTAGATTCTTTTTCTTTTCCCATTTCCCCATCATGTCAGAACTATCGATGGGAAAAGGGGAAGAGCCCAAATTTTTCCCGGGGAGGAGAGCTGACTTGCAAACGAGGCAGGGGAAAAAGGGTAACGACCCGGCTTTTCCCACAATGCTTTGCGGGCCTAGATTTTTTGTTTTGGCGCACACCCCCCAAAACAGACCCGTTCTCTAATGTGGGTATGAGCGCTTTTGCGAAAATTTGGCCCGGCGCAAAAAATTTTGGCGTAGATCTAGGGTTTTTGGACACTCAACGTGAAGGAGATCTAGGGACCCCCAAAAAGGGGTTTTTTTAAGCAAATTTGTCAGTGATCCCAAAAACAAAATTGGGTTTTTAAACCTTTTTAAAATTACACTTTCCTCCTTTTTAATTTTTAAAAAAAAAAATTTTTTTTGGATAATAAAATATAAAAAAGGAAAAAACCCCCCAATTCCAATAACTGAAAAAATCCCAAAGAAAAATCCAAAAGAGCGACTGAAGGATGAGGATTTCGGGGGATGATTTTAGTTTTCTTTTAAAAAGGGGATCGGGAATCAAGAAATTAGTGCCTCCCAATTCCCCAGACCCTTGCAATGCAAAAACCCTCTGCAGTTTAATGTTTCCCTACAATGAAAAGAGTGGCTTTCAAAAATTTTTTAAAGGTATTGGGGGTTTTTTTTTACAATGCATGGAAGGCCATTTTTGAAAAATGCAGCCCCAATATGGAACCCCATCCCTGGGGAAACAGGGTTTAAGGCACTGCACACAGCAAAATAAACAAAACTATTTTGCAGAGCAAAGGAAAAGCTTTTGACGAAAGGCTAGGGGAAATTTTTAATCTCAGCCCTTTTTCCTTTCCCCATACCCTTAACCTAATTAGAGAGCCTTCATCAAAAAAATTAAAAAGGAACATCAAAAAAATTTATAAAATTTTTTTTGAGATCTGGGGGAAACAAAAAAAATTTTTTTCAAAGTTGGTTACTCATAAGAAAATTAGTAGCACACTTTTTTATTTACAACCTACCCCAAACAATTTATTATTTTTTTTTCCAACACGGGTTGTTTCCCCCAACCCGGGGTTCCCCCAAAAAATAAAAAACTTTAACCCTTCACTGTTTTTCCAGGGGTTGTGCTCATACAGTTATAAAATGGATGGGGGTAGGGGGAACAATTGGGGGGAATAATGAGGTAAAGGTGTGTTTAAAACAGAAAAAGGTGCAAAAGAGTTTTTTTACATTTTAAATGAGGGCAAAAGGGGTGGAGTAGGAGAGTAAAGGATTTTTAGGTGGTGAAAGGAGGGGAAAAGGAGAGCAATGAAAGTGGTGGGGACCAACAAATTTTATTGAGAAAAAAACCCCCCAATTTTTTTGGAGTCAGATAAATAGTCAAGCTGGGAACAAATGAATCTGCCCTTTAAAAAACAGAATAGGGGACTTAGACATGGGGAGTGGGAGGGGATTGGGGAAAACCCGGCAGGGTTATTTTTAGAGGCAGTAATTTTTATGATTGGGTAGGGAAGGAGTGGGAAAAGCCAGTGTGTGTGGGGGGGGGTGAAGGGTTTAAAACAGCTTTGGGAAATGATGGGGGTCAGGAGATATGTTAAAACAGGAGGGGAAAAGGGGTTTGGGGTGGTTAGTATTTTTTCTCAAAAAATGTTTGAAAGAGGGGAAGGACCCCGGGGTTGGGGAAAAGAATTTTTAATTCCTTATATGAGAAAATTTTAAAAAATTTTAGGGAAAAAAAAGTTTAATGAGTATACCAGGTGTGTATGGTAGGTTTTTTACTGAAAAATTAGAGGAAAAAAGGGAGGATTTTCAGATGAGCAAAAAAAGGTTTTTTGAATGGGGAAGGGATGTGAAAGGGAAAAGGGGGTTTTTAAATTCACTTATGAAAAATTTTGGGAAAAATATGAAAAGGGTTTGGTTTGGGGAGCAATGTGGAAAATGTTTTCAAATGTTGGGGAAAGGGGGGACAATTTCTAAATGCTGTATTATGGGAGTTTAGGCCCCAGGTTAAAGGGGCAGGAGAGGGGAAAGATCACTTTCCCGGAAAAGTAAGGGCCTTTAAAATTGGGGGGTGTAATTTTAAACATGGTTGTTTAAAATTTATAGATGGAGTTGAAATAAAAATAAATAAATGCTAAAGGGGGTTTGGGGGAGGGGGGAAATTAAATTTTGGGGGAAAAATTTAAAAACAAAAGGGGGTCTCACAGTTTTTTTTTGATACTGTGCTTTTGGGGGATTTTTAAAGAGGGTTGCAGAGGGTTTGTGAAAGTGGGGAAAAAGTGTAAAGTGAGGTGAACCAAAAACAAGAGGAAAAGGGGTTGAGGGGATAATGGGGTTTTTGGGAAAGGGAAAAACTGGGCACCCCAAAATTTGGGGAGTTTTGGTAGGGGGAAACAAATTTGTTCAAAATTTCAGAGTAATTTGCAGGAGATGGGTTTTGAAGGGCAAAATTTTAACCCCAAAATGAAGGGAGTGGTGCATTGAGGTAGGGGAAAAAAAAAAAAAAATTTTCCAAGGAGGCAAAGAAGGGAAAGTACGCGAGTACAAAAGGGGACCAAAAACCTTTTAAAAGGGGGGGGTGAAGGGATAGGGTGCGATGGCAGCAAGGAGGAAACTGGGAAGGGGGGAATGTCCTAAGGGGGAATGTGTGGTGTAAAATTTAACAGAGAATTCATAGTGGGGAAAAATTTGGAATGTTTTTAAAAATTTTTCAAGGGGTGAAGAGGGGGTTTTTGGGTGGATTTGGGCCCCTTTTGAGTATGGAGAAAATAGAATGACTTTAAAGGGATAAAAATTTTGTGGAGGGTAGGGGGACAGGGGGCACCCTTTTGGGAAAAAAGGGGGGGGGAGGGGGTAAGGGCTGGTGTGCAAGGGGCCCATGCAGCGGCATGGTTTTAGCATGTTTTGATAGTGAATGGAAGCTAATGGTGTTTTGGGCCCGACAAGCTGTTGGATTTTTGAGAGGGTTTAAATTTTTTGAAGGAATTCGGGAAAAACCCGATAGCTGGGTGGAGTCCCGGAGATGGGAAAGGTTTCAATCCGCACTTTTTAAAAGGGTTTTGGATATTGGCTGTTTAGAGTGACATCTAAACTGTTACATCAGGGACCTTCCACAAAGACGGTGATTATGTGTGAATGACTGTAAGCGTTTCTTTTTTTTTTTTGGTCATCCTGCCTTGGTGGGAGATGGCTGGCGAGTTGGAAAAAAATCAACCTTTGGCAATCTTCCCAAGAAACTATTCACCCACAACCCTATCCCACACCTTAAGAGGCTTTGGTAAATGGGCAAGAGGAAGCCAAGTGAGATCCAAGGCAGGGGAGGTCAAATTCCTTGTATCAAAACTATTGGGAATTAGGCAGACAAATCAAACCCAAGAAGATTCCTTTAGATTCCAAAAATACTTTCACGTTCTTACCAGACTGTCGAGATGCAAAAACCTGTCATCTTGACCACGGAGCAATTTTCAAAAGGCTGAGCTTCTCTAGTATCCACACAAGGAACATTACACAAGGCTGTAGCCTAAAGAGTCCACTGGATGCAATGTCTGTTGCAAAGACTCTAGCCTTCGCCGACATGGAACCTCTTGCTTACGTATACCTGAACATTACAATAGTTCAGTATAACAACCACTGAAGAGAAATTTACTTCACTGTACACAATATCATCAGACCAGTTTACAGAATCATGCTGTTCATAAACACAGACCAAGGAGTATTAATCAAATCAGTGGAAAGAGGGGAGAGAAAAAGGGGAAAAAAAAAAAAAAAAAAAAAAAAAAACAGTCACCTTCAGGTGCAAAATATTTTTTCACCACTAGTACAGCTTCCTTTCTCCTGAACTGTCAGACAACCAAGGAAATTCTGGGCCCTCCTGGACTACATGACCTACAATTAAACCGTTACATTACATTCCGTATACTGATTTTTTTTTTTTTAAGAACATTCTTTTAGTCATTACATGACTAGGACTTGAGGCAGCAGAAACTGAAGGACAAGGTAGACCACAATAAGCTCAAGCTGTGAGTGGTAAATTTGGGCCCGATATGAGAAAATGGGTCTGTGATAAGTATGCACCACAAGCAATCTTACAAATACCCAGTGCACAAGGGGAGAAAAAAAACGACTGGTTTAAAACAGCGACTTCGTGGTGTATTTTTGAATGGTTTTTATGGTTGTATTCATGGTGTTTTGGTCTTGTTTGATAGAATGGAAGATGTATTAGAAAGATTTTGTTGGTTTCAGGACTGAAAATGACAAATTGAGCTCAAAGTAGTGGCAATGTTCGATTTTTGCCAATATTCAACAGTAACCGAATCACACGACATGTGCAATACACGTCAACTAGTGGGTCTAATGTGTTTTCATGAATGCACTAATATTTATACAATTACAATAATGCATAACAGTAAAACTTTTTTTTTTTTTTTTTTTTTTTGCTGTAAAAAAAAAAATGAAATTCAAATGTCAAGCCTGGAAACATAATTAATGAACAGAGGAAATGCTATTTTAGTGTCAGGAATGCCTTCATTGTTTCTTCTGGACCCTATTTTGCAATTGGAATATTTTGAAATTTGCTTCAAATTGGCCAAATTACCAATTTTTGATCACTTTATTGGGTAGTTGAAATAGTTGATTGGGAAGTTTCTTGTGTTCAATTGATAACAGAAGGCACACTGGCAAAACAGCAAAGAATCTGGTCACCTGGAACAAATGTAATTGGCCTAATTGGTCAAATACGGGCAAAATCACTGATGCATAAATATCACAGTGTAAATATCACAAGTGTAATTTATGTTTATTTTCTATCAAATTTTGTACTTTGTTTTATTACTGTCAGAAAAAAATTCTCTAACATTTCATACATTTTTTTTTTAATTCTTGGACACTGTGGACAAGTTTCAGAAATAGAATTATTAAATTACAGTCAGAATGTAGCCAGAAAGATCAAATTCCATCGTTGATCAAAAAAGAATTTAAGCATTGATTTTCCCAATTATA